CAGTTTGCTCCTGGACACAGTTTTCCATGGGAAGGAAACTACTGCAGCCTTTGGCTGAGTCTCTAGACTGAATGAATAGGAAACTAGGACCATACAGTGCACCGTGGCCACTCAGCCAAGATGTAGTCTAAGAAAAGCCTGGACCTGCAACTCCAGCTAAATGCCTGCAGTTCTGTGGATCCACAGAGGTTGAAAACAACAGATCTCCAGTATGTTACAGGGGAGAAACTGAAATACAAGGAGCAAAAAGAGAACTTTCCTCCAGATGTACTCAACTGGGAAGCTTTTAATAGAAACACGCTTTTGAAGTGAACCTCCAAGTTATACCTGTGCTTTGGTTTGTAGCACTGAGTGGGCTTGGAGCTCACAGGTGAACTATCTTCTTGGATGAAGCTGTACTTCCTGGTTGACTGTAAGATGCACTTAAGGATCACACCTAATGTGCTCCAGTTGCTAACGAGCGTTCAGACAATAGGACCAGACTAGAACTAGTCTGAAGTAACCCCCCCTGAAATGTGTATGGTGTGGGTGTCAGGTCCTCAGCATCAGCTGTTTCATTCTGCACATCGCTCCTCTTGTCTCCTCTGCTTCCCACAGTAGGCACAAACTGGTAAATTGTGGAAGATGGGATGCGAGGATGGATTTTCTAGATCCTAATGCCTGCCTAGAATCCCATTGACAGCTACTACCTCTAAGCCCTTCTTCCAAGTACTGCCATGGGATAAAGCCATTCAGAGCTGGCTGAACTATCACTATACTCAGGCAGAAGGTCCAGCTTTGCCTAGATTATTTGTCAGCAGGCTGTACTCTAAGGGGTTTCTATTTGACTGAGTAAAAAAAAAAAAAGGCATACTTAAATTTAGTAATGTCAACTGTCTGGTTACTAGAGAAGTCTTTCTCATAGAAAATATTCTTGTTTTATGAATCATTTAGCACATCAGAGGTAACATAATAAAAATAGATTGCTGCCATGAGATCAGTGTCTCCTGCATTGAAAATAATGCATAGTTTTGACTACATTTATTTTTGAGGATTGTATTCTGCCAGCAGCAGGAACCATTACCCTGTGATACCTTTACAACTGACAATTATCTTTCCTGCAGCATCCTATAGTCTCACTGACATTCTATAAGCAAATAACTATTATGGTTTAGTGTCTTCATATGGTAGTGTAACTCAGATCTGTTTCAGGAAGTCTTGCAGGTTTTTTGATGTGTTTCCCCTTTGTCTTGCCACATTATAAATGATGGTTTTATTCCTTTTAAAATATTCTGTCAGCTGTTGTATACCTGTCTGTGCTTTCTTACTGCCATCAGAATAGGGACACTGTAAAACTGGGAGTACAAGCAGATGAAAGAGCTACCTACCTCCTTATCACAGCGTTTCCCCGCATAGGAGAAAGAAGTTCAGAAGATTAGGTAACAGTGTGGGAGAACGCTGATAAAGTCCGGAATGGGGGGAAGAGGGAATCTCAGTAGCAGCTCTGCAGAAAAGAGAACTGAAGTGTGCTGGAGTGAGTAGAGTAACAGCAGGGAAAGCTGAAAGGAACTGTTCCTGAGCCAAGTCCTTGCACACATTAAAGGGTTGGATAGCTGCAGAAATAGGGAGTCCTCCAAGTAGATGCTGCCTGCAACATCTGCCTCTGCATTGTGCAGGAACTTTTCTTTGGCAGAGCATACACAGCCCTACAGAGCCTATAGTTAGATTAGGGTTCTTCGTACTGCACTTTGCATCTCTATTTATAGTTTTCTCCCAAGCAAGAGATGACCTGTGTGAGTGTAGGTATGTATACGTGGATGGAAGCAGTGTGATTCAGTTTGCTGACCACACTTAATATCTGAGTAAAAATTTGTGTTGAAAACATGTCTTTTGACAACATCCTCCCTCCTCAAGATTTTTCACACTAAGTTTTGCTGA